CCAAACTGAAGGTTTCGTGTCTTCTTCTATTTCGAAGAAGTCGTTTCGACTTTTACAAACTTAGCATAGATTAACATTTCGATTCGCTTTCGTCTGATCAGTTTGAAATGGGCTATTAGTCTACCGCCATAAATTTCACTCAGTTCCTGTGTTAAGACGCGGTTTGAGTCTGCATAATTAAGTAATGCCGTCTTATTTAATTCTATTTTTTTTTCTTAGATCGGTGGACTAGCTCACAGCCCACCTGGTGTTAAGTGGTTACTGGAGCCCATAGACATCTACAACGTAAATGCGCCACACACCTTGAGATATAGTTCTAAGGTCTCAGTATAGTCACAACGGCTGCCCCACCATTCAAACCGAAACGCATTACTGCTTCACGGCAGAAATAGGCGGGGCGGTGGTATCTACCCGTGCGGACTCATAAGAGGTCCTACCACCAGTAAATAATTCTAGTGGATTGCATTATACATATGACACCTTTAAGTGTGCTTTAGTGTTTCCCGAGCGCTATGACATGTCCTTCTTCAAACGAGGCTTATGGAGCGTATTAAACGGTAGGCAGTGGCTTGGGTCTGCCACTGGCATTGCCAACGTCCATGAGCGACGATAACCACTCACCATCAGGTGGGCCGTATGCTCGTCTGCCTATACGGCAATAAAAAAAATAGAAAAAATCTTGACTTGCGCACCAAAACGCGCGGTTGAGAAGGCCTCCCATAATATTATTATAATTACACCGAAAATATGTCCATAGTTGCAGAACTCTGAGGAATGCGATGAACGATGTTTTGCAGCTTGAATTATTGTATATTTTTCTCTAAAACAAGTTCAAGACTCATTTAGTTCTAAGTGCTTTTAGGGGCCCGTAGACACCTCAATCTGAGTATCGAAGCCTACCTTTATGGATGAGGTCAAAGTTTTAAAGGTTGACCCGCCCTGTGAATTAGAACGCACGATTGTGATTTTATACTTTTTAGTACTATGCAAAGTTTAAAAAAAAACATCAAAAATGTTTGCCGCGAAACTAGGCAGGTTGCGATTTCTTTAATTCCTATAACCACTTAACTCCGGGCATCTATAAAAAAAAAAACAAAAGTCTTAAAGACCCTTCGCCAAAAACGTTTTCAAAGTTCGTCAACCCGTCGCTACAGTCACCACACACGGCGAGCGTTAGGAGTGAAGCGCCATCTCGTGTTGAGGCGGGTCACCTCACGAGCGATGACGTCACAGCCCGAAGCTCCGTGATTGAGCGATGAACTTTGAAGGCACGTCGATCATTGCCATGTTATTAAAGGTATGAGGATTATCCATTCATATTACCTTATACAGCGCGTTTGTAAGTTTAAAAGCGCACCTAATCGATGCAAAGACATTAAAAACGTACGTGACCAAGAAAACTGTCAAACTCGAGTTTAAATCGTAAAAATGATTTTAAAGTCTAATAAAACCGTTGAACATTTTACCATAAAAATTATAGAAAATTTTTTTAGAAATATACCATTTCAAATAAGAATATTTTGAGATTAAAGAACTAATAATTGATTTCGGTATTTTTACATTAAAACTGGCTGTATGTAAGTCTTACTAAAAGTTTGTGTCTTACAAAACTTTGTAACTTTTGTTGTACCTACAGAGTCTTATTAACGTTAAAAAACTATTCCTATGACATTGTATGTAGGTTCAAGTTTATTTTCAATCATTCCTTATTTTTGGTGTAGAATAGCAGTCGTTATCTCCATTGATCCACTTTTTTATTAGTACTCGTCCAGTTATCCGAATCTCAACGGCGTGTTAGGTATAAAGCTTTTTGGCCATCAAGGCTATGTGTGCCTCTTACGAGAGAACCATACAGCCTAGTGAAAACAGAAATCCTAATTACTAATTACAATTTTTTTTTCAAAGTGACAATAGTTAGATTACTTTTTCCTAATGAACGAAAATATTATTATATCGTCTGCAGTTATCATTCTAATAACAGATTACGGTGACTTTTTTTTTAATTTGAATTAGAATCATTATTTATGTATACAAATCATGCTGTATATGTGATGGCCGTTACAACATCGTTCGCAAGCACTTATTAATAACGCGAAGAAAGCTCCACCGAATCTCTCATCAAAAACCAATAGTGGGTGTGCTCGTATCGTCGCGCACTTAAGTGTTACGAAATAATTTTTAAACTGCAAGCTCGTTCAGTCCCTTCTTTTTTTTAGGATTGAAGGACATCTGGTGGCCCGGAGGCCTTTCGAGTTTCACCAGGACAGGTGGGCGAGCAAAGGCTCAGCCAGGAAGGGGTGGGATTTGCTAACAGCTGCCCGAGCGCCTCAGAAGGAGGCCTAACAACTCAAGACCAGCTGCTTCGCGAATGAATCTGCTACCGGATCGGAATCGCGACCCGCTGAGAAGATCCGGCGAGAAACTCAGCGGGCTGATGCATGAGTTAGGTTGCACGTCGAACTCTTTGTCGAGTTCGACGAGTACGGTTACCGGGGTCCCTAAGCCTGCTCCTAGTGTTAGAGCTGAAGTCGTCTAAGGAAAAGTTATTGGATCTGGTGGATCCGTAAGGTCGTGGGTCCCTTCTAATAAGCCAGTGTGGCCAATAATAGATATGCCAACACGTTATATTATGACAGTTCGTTTCTCCACGAAAGTCAACTTTAGCTAAACTAAGAAAAACCTGTGTTTCTTCTTCTTCTTATCTATAACCTTTAATAAAATTGTTAAATACATACATTCATATTATACAATATAGTATTATGGAATATCATATGGATCGAAATGAGATGAAGTTGATTTATTTGAGACTTTATTCAATTGGGATAAAATGAAATAAAAAAACACCGTTATTACACATTTAAAGCTGAAGAAACACTAAATTAACCAAATAAAACATTTAACACAACCTCGCGTTCCCACCAAAAAGTCAAAACCTGTGATTGTTCAAAAAACTTAACTATCGTTTTTTTTCTATCGTTTTTGTTTAAGCTTTATATTAATGTCCTTGATACTTATTTAGTGTGCTAGGCAACATATTATTACTTTCAACAAATTAGTATGTTATACGTATACATACATATTCATTCAATCAATAGCATGAAATGAGTGTAGTTGAGAAACTGTGGGCAATGAAAAAAATAAAAATATGTACAGTGTACACTTATTATAAACATTACTGCATATTCACAATAAAATTATTGTCTATTTTACAACCTTAGTAAAAACAAATAATTATTTGCAATGCTTAAGTACATTTTATTTAGGCAAAGTGATTATTAAAATAAAGTTATAATTATGTCGTCAACTGTACATCAAAAACAAACAGCTTGTATCATAGCGCAGACATCTTGCGCTAAGGCTTTACCTCGTGTTTATTCATAAAAATATCAAACCGCCTCATTGAATCCGCGGGCGGAAGATCCGACAGATATGAGTATAGCTCTCGCAAATTAATATTTTGTACAACGAAATTAATGTAATTAATGAACATAATGTAAATTTAAGCCAGAGCCCACGCGTCAATTAAATTTGCTTTCGTGAATTGATAGGGTTGGGAGACTATAATTGCGCGATGCGTATTTGAAGTCTTCAGAGCTCAATTTCTTTAGATTTATTTCAAATGCTTAAGTACATATTGTTAGCGCTTTATTCTAGCCCCACTGAGTAGGTACGGCCATCTTACTTATATATGGCGCGAAGCATTCAAATTGTCAGGTTTGATATGTGCGACAGCTATTATCAATACCTACACTTGCAATTTCCTCCATCTCCCTCTTGTCATGTGGTATGTCTAATTATTAAAATCCTCTAGTTTTTCCACCACTAAAGTAACTTTCCACAATGATTTATAATTCGTTTACCTGTAATCAAGTAAATAATCAAGTGATTATCACGACCACAGAGAAAAAAAATAAAAATATTGCTATAGTTGTTAAATCAATTTATCACGTCGGCCAGTTTAATTACCTCGCCTTGGATTTGCTTCCCCATATTAGTGCGGGATTGTGAATCATTTTATGAAAGAATACAACAAATCAAATTTTTTAAATCCATTCATAAAACGAAGAATTTCACATTTTACTTTTGACTTTAAGATGGCGTACATACCTATGGGAAATAAAACAATTGCTTACAAATAATAGAAAATTCATTTACCTTCTGGACTTCGATACCTAAGTTATGTTTCCTACGGGTACAAAGTAGTGTTTGTTGTTTGCAGAGAATACCAGATTTTAGTCAATTAAATTCAACCAATTCAACAAAAAGGTACACTGCCATCTATCGAGAACTTACACTAAGTATAAAATACTTTTGGCATTGGAATTTTATGCCTCTTATCAATTTTATCAAACGTTTAATTAATAAGGAAAGTGAAATAAAGATTTTCTCAAAAACATCAAAACAAACACAAACTACACCATCCTACTATTTTACATCAACGGAATATATTGGAAAAACTATACTTTATATTAATTCGCCTGCTGATAAATATGTATAAAATTTTACAGGGAGTAAAATATTTTATATCGACGACGATTTAATAAAATAATAATAAAAAACGTGAGATTATGCCATAAAATACTTTTAATTACGTTATTGAATCGTAAGCTACTTCGGTAGGCAGCGACTTGGTTCTGTCCCTGGCATTGCTGAAGTCCGTGTAACTCACCATCAGGTGGGCCGTACCAAACAGGTCTGCCTAGAAGTCCAATAAAAAAATTCATACAGTGTTTTTTTTTTGTACAAATTAGAAATAACTGGTTTTCGAACATTTTTGTGCAACCTTCTAATTCAATTTCAATTACTCTAAGTTAATTCAAAAAGAACTCATTTACTTAGTACGATCAGACGAAAATTATTCCAAAGGTTTTTTTTTACGATATTCAAACGGAATATTTACTTTAAATTCTACAACTATGACTCATTGCTTTCAATTATTTTATCGCAGGTCAAGTGTAAATCCATTTAGAATCCCAGTCTTGCTACGTATAACGGAACAGAACCCGTCAAATCTAATGTCAACGCATAGAAAAATTTGTACCTCTGTGTCAAAATTTAATCAAAATTCAATGTAAAAACAATAACAATTTCAAATTAACTTGAAATTTAACGTGCAGTGATCCATGAACACCGAAATTTCCTGTGTTTAATACGAGAAAAGCGACATGGCGGAAAAGTGAGTGACCCCTTTAAATTCACAAAATTGATGTCAACATAGCTTATCATTAAAATCGCGATTGTAAAAGAGTTTTGTTTTTCTACGTCTTATTTGTAAACAGAAAACGTTTTATTTCTATTACGCTCATTATTGAATAAAATCCTGGTATCATGTAAACAGTACATGCAATTGTATTATTATTGATTAAGCAAAACTTATAAAAATAGAAGTTGTTTGCGATACAACTGCATTTTTTACACCAGATATTGGACCTAAAACTATGACCCTGGTAGCTAACTGATGAATTTTGTCTTCAAGTTGTTTTATAGTCCCAATCACCTTGAACTTAATTTTTAAAAATTCAGTTAAAAACTTTATACAATTACACAAGTTGCTTTGTCTAATAAAAATATAAATGCAAATGTAATGATTAAACAAAGGATCAAATTTTAGAATGAACAGGATCTTTTTTCAAAAACTTTGACAGGTGTCAAACTATTGCACAACCAAAGGTTACTTTGAGAAACTTTTTGACTTAATTAGTGACCTTCCTTTATATTGTACTAAGTTTGCCAAGAAGTGCGGAAGCTCCTTTTTCTATTTTTCAATTTAAATATTATTGTGTTCCTTATTTTAATTTAAATTAAACCCATAGATATCACAAAGAGAAATATAAGTCGCAACTTCAGAGATTCAAAGATGAATACTACAGATTTTAGTTTAATTCCTCATCAGTTAGCAGTCAGGATCTGGTTGTATTTATTCTTGTCGCTAGTATTTCTGAGACCCATAACAGCTTTGGGTTTTGAATGTTTAACAGCTGTTGTACGTTGCAAACTTCACAACTACTTTGCAGTAAAAGAGGCTGGATTGTAGTACCTACACATGCAGACTCTCTATGCTATTATTATTTTGGCTTTACTAAATGCAAAAATAACTTTGGATAGATCAACCGATTCAAGTGTGAGTGAGGCAAGCAGCTCTCAAATCAGCGATGAAAAGCAGTCCGGTAACTGGTGGGACTCTTGGTTGTCATCTGCTAAAACTAAAGTAAGTCCTCGAAAATAACTATATAAATACAATAATATGATAGATGAAAGAAAAATGGAAACAAACCTTTTAAAAAATTCAATACCTTATTTATCATATACCTACTACTATATAAAGTTTTATTTTTCGTTTACTCCAGTGTGAAATATTCAAATATTCATACTAATACAATCTCACTATTTGAAATTATGAGAAATCTTTTCTTTGTGTCTAACAAATAACAAAGGCAGTAGGCAAAGTTGATAGTAGCTCCTTAATGATGCATAACAATTAATCATACAATGTGCTTCAACTAATAATTATAATTTTCAGTTTTATTGTACCAGTTAATTAATTAATTATTATTATTTGCCATAAAAATATTGAGACTCTTGACTACAATTATAAAACCCCTCATCATATTCAGTACTATTTAGGAATTCAAAACCTTTATACTGACAGTTATTGTAATCAATATAACAGTAATTGTATCTCATTAATGTTTCAGTCTGCAGAAGTGTATACAATGGTGAAGAAAGACCTCGACGAAATAGGCAGTGCTGTGAAATGTGAAGCAAGTCATGTTTTCAGCACCACATCCAATGTTATAGGCAAGACTCTCAAGGTAAGACTCCAAAGTAATAATGTAAAACAAAGTACATATTAGTGCAATTGTATGCAATTGCGCATTGTATTGTACCCATGAGGGAGTACCTTTTTTTTCTATAAATTGTCAGATAGACACACCACAAATGGGCAAGTTTTCTAATTCATTGTAAGGTATTTGAAATGAATTTTAGTGTCTACAAGGGTATACATTAAAATTTCTAAGGTGGAATTAAATAATGATGACATTATTGAATAGTGTGCTCTATGTCTCTCTTGTATAATATTATGGAATAAGTATTAATTAGTTTATTTCTTTGAGACAGACGTATTGGTAACATACAATATAAAAAATTTAAGCTAAAATTGGGACTACACAATGTAAGAAAAACTAACAACAGAACTACTGATAAAACTGTACAAATATTAGACTAGAATATTGTTGAGTGTCTCAGTTTGTTTAACTGAAGCTATGTCATTTCTTTTTCAGTTGGATGTACCAGAGTCACCTGCTAATGCTATGAAAAAGAGTATCAGCACATTCATCGGTAACATGTCAAATTTTTTCTCATTTATTCTTTCATCTCGCACAAAATCTTAAACTACACATCTCTTTTGTAGAAAGTAATTGTACAGTTGAAATTACTGAAGTTGAAAGTATCTGAAATAATAGTATATAATGTAATAATAATAGTATATATATATTAGCTTCATTATATTAGTTGAGAAATATGAATGCCCTATCTATATCTGTTGCGGTCTTATAATTAAGAATGATTTGAAGTTCCAGTTTTTTTTATTAAAATCATATCATGTCTAGTTATGTTTTCGTTTTTAGACATAACTAATTTTGTTGTTAAATAACCACATGAAAGCAATCGAGATTAGGAATAAAATCGCTAAAAGAATTTTTTGCAAATTTAATTTTACTATTTAAGAAAACTTCAATTAGTAATGAATATGGGGAAAGAATGAAATATAAAACCGCTAACGATTTTTTTGCAAATTAACTTTTTCCATTTAGGAAAAACTCTAATATTAATGAATCTGGGGAAACTAAGGGACTAACTAATTAAAACCGATTCAATAAAGTGATCTAGGGTAGTTTCATATAAAACTTAGACCAAATAAATCACGTTAATGTGAAGAGTGGGTATACATTGTGAATAAACTTAATTATATGACCACCACTGTATATATGCATAAGATGAAGTGACAATATTACATGCTCATGATCACTCATTGCGTTTAAGCTGTGTGCTGGAATACTGGCGAGAAACGCTCTTTCTATTTATAGTTTTAATTTTATTCCATAACAGTCATCTCTCTACCTTGCAAACAGAAACGCTTTGATTATACCAAGATTTTAATTTTAGGTCAAGTGAGTACGGTCCTGAATCCGGAGCCAGATGATGAAGACGACACAGAAGTTATACTGTCCTCCGGTGACACTACCATGCTGTCAACGTACAAGGTAAGGTGCTATTCACTTGTGCTCGTGAGTCGTAAGCGATATAAATAATAGTGAGGTTTTTTTTTAGTTTATCGCCCTTGTAGGCAGACGAGCATACGGCCCACCTGATGGTGAGTGGTTGCCGTCGCCCATGGACTTCAGCAATGCCAGGGGCAGAGCCAAACCGCTGCCTACCGCAATAGTAGTAGTAAAACTTTTTCGAATAAATTGAAAAAAAAACGTTACTAATTTATAGGTTGTCTCATTTTTCTTCAGTACTTAAATATAAGCCAGATATCATTCTATATTAACCTTATAATTAATTGACAAGAGCCAAAAGTTAAATTAACTTTTTTTATTACACTATAGAAAGAACTAGAAGCTCTACAACGCGTGGACGCTACCTTCATAGTGCCGGCCTACAGTCCAGAGTTTGAGGCTTGGAAGGCCAGCCTTGAGACATCCGAGGCCGGTATAGTGTCGCCGGTGTCGGCCGCCAGACGACTCGACTCGAATCCCGTGCTGAAGGCGCAGTACGACAAGCTTGTGCCGGATGCGGTCTCACACGATGAATTTTGGGAACGGTAAGTTGAGAGAGAGAGAGAGAGAGGACATACTTTATTGCACACCAAAACACAATTAACATTAGAAAACAGTCAACAAGCAGATACATACGCTTGTACAATAGGCGGTCTTATCGCTAAAAGCGATTCGAAATGTATGAAGACACGACACCTTTATATTATTATAATGTTTAAGAGATTTTACGACCTGGTAACTAAGACCTTTAGGTCATGTCTTAATTTATACATATTCATATTTTTATGAAAAATGAGAATATGGCGTGAAATTAAATGAAATGAAGATGAGATGATTCATTTGAGACATTAATCAACTGGGATGAAATTAAATGAAATAAGATGATATGATATGGGATGAAATATTATCAGTAAAATGGTGGTCATTTACTGAGATTTTTTCAGTGGACTTTTTTCGGACGGCTTTGTTTCATTTTCCCACATTTGTGCACTTTCACAGATATTAAACAGTTAATAAACCACCGTTATTTCACATTTAAACCTGAAGAAATACTAAATAGACAAAATAAAACAAATCACACAACTTCACTCCTCGCGTTCCCCCCAAAAAGTCAATTTAGTAAATACACTGTAACCGTAGCACAGATTATACTAGTCATACTGATTATACTTGCGCAAAGGCATACACCGGACAGCCTCGTTTGTTTTTTTAATTCTTTGAGTACCTATACGCAAGATTTAATATTAAATTAAAATCGGTTACCAAAACTATCGACATTACGGTGATGAGATAAATGGGAATCTCCCTAAGTATGGATAACGTTTTTTATTACTAATACACTTGACACATTAATTAGGCTGCAAGTTCAATTTTGTTGTTTAACTGCTGCTCCTCTCTTGTCTAAACTTGCCGTTTAGATATAGATATGGACACAACTCAACCGAGCGACCTAGCAATACGAACTTCTAGCATACACTTTATGTGAGTTTTATTAATATACTTTCACAGGTACTTATTCCGTGTAGCCCTACTTCAAGATAAGCTGGCCGCAGCTTCTCGCAAGCAAACCATCGAAGAACCCACCAATGACCCCGTAATGGCGAATTTACCACTACAATCACAGCCGCAGTAAGTTTTTTTTTTTTAAACTTTGTTGTCTATGGCCTAAAGCCTGAAACGGCCATTGTGTTATCTGAATTCCGCAAATTATTACTGATTTATCTAATGAATTTTACACTGGACTAATTTTCACGAATAATTCGATGAAACTCTCGTAGATTTGCAAAGCGTGATTACTGAAGGTATTATGAGCTGGTACAGACAGATTTATCTTTGTAATTAAACGTCCGCGCTATTTGGTATTAACATCAACAATTCGTTTTTTTTTAATCGGACTTCAATCAGCTTTTTACTGGTGGTAGGACCTCTTGTGAGTCCGCGCGGGTGGGTACCACCACCCTGCCTATTTCTGCCGTGAAGCAGTAATGCGTTTCGGTTTGAAGGGTGGGGCAGCCGTTGTAACTATACTTGAGACCTTAGAACTTATATCTCAAGGTGGGTGGCGCATTTATATTGTGGATGTTTATGGGCTCCAGTAACCACTTAACACCAGGTGGGCTGTGAGCTCGTCCACACATCTAAGCAATAAAAAATAATATAAAATAAAAATCAAGTTTACTCCATCCAAATAGCTGAAGTTTTTTTTTTCTTAATATTATTGCCAAATTTTAAACTTTAATATGTATAAAGATATGGATGTGCGAATTAAATTATTATCTTTCAGAACTCCCGAAAAAGTTCCAGAAAAAGTTCCAATCATAGAGAACGAAAAGAATTACGAGAACGAAGACATAGACAACGTCGTCACCTGGGAGGACGGTAAGAATAAACAATGATAAAATATTTAGTTTTGTTTCGTTTCGGATTTTTTTATTTTTTTTTATTTCATCGACGTGTAGGAGACGAAAATTTGATTTAATTTCAATTTTGTTTACTTGAAATTTGTTTATGTAACTCATATTAATTTCTCAAAATAAAACTTGTATCATTATTCCATAGCTTTTTCTTGTCATTGTGTTTGTACTGGACGCGATGATGTCGTTTTAAAAACCTCCGATTTTCTTCTTTTTTTTTTGCTTCTTTTTCCGATAACTCCACAGAAGACTTCGCTCATGACGTAGAACTGACGGAGGAACAGCAAACTCTGCTTCTAGAGGAATACGAGAGGGAGATCGCTTCGAAAAAACTCGCAAAACAGAACACGACATGCGACTCAGTCAACAACAACAACAACAACAAAGCAGACAATCCAACGAAAAAGTCCACGAACAAGACCACAGATAACATGAACAACAGGAACATAGACAAAAACAAACATGGCCGCTCACCGGAAAAGGCGGGAAAACTAGACCCGTGCGGCAACAATCTGGTCGAAGACTATTTCGCTGATAAGGAAGTCAAAGATGACGCCAGTGCCAATTCGGACGAGAGCTGGGAGAAAGATTTCGAAATTGACGATGTCAAACAGAAAGCATGAATAATTCCAGCCCTAGTGTTGTAGTAATGATGCCGGCCGCACACATATGTCCTATAAGTCTGTATGAATGTTGGATTTAGAAGAGGGAACTCGAATCAAACACTAGTGACAAGATCGATCTATAAACAAATCTGTTGGACAGATGATCAAAATATACTATGGAAGATATTAGCGTCACTCACTCACCGAGTTGCGAAAAGCAATGACACTTTTAACACTAAACAAGATTGTTCCTCACTTATCGGCCGCTCATATTCGAGAAGCTTCTACAGATTCTAAAGAATCGTGAGAGCAAAAACTAGTAACTAATTTGGCTTGAAATGAAATTGCCTGTCCGGTGTCAAATACGCATTTTTTTTTCAATAATATGATGTTATTGCCGTTTCCATAGACCTCACAATGAGAGACCTTGCCTTCATTGATAAATAAAAGATGATTTCTCAATTCTTGTGATTGTACAAAAGCGGTAATTCAAATCGGAACCTTGGAAATAGGCAGAATGAGGGCTAGCAACAGACTCCATTAGTATCTAAGGCTAAAAAAAAAAAAGTGAGCTAATTATGATAAGAGTAATCGACAATATTAATAAAGCGGTCAAATAAAAGTTTGTTTGTTTATATATTTTGTGATTGCCTCGTCAAAGCTCAGCCATAATGCACATTTGACGGTACACGCGTTTGGCAAACTTTAGTCTTTGCCAATGCGAGCAAGAAATTGGAAGATTATAAACATTTAACCCAACCTCTAAACTAACATTCATACAGGCTTCAATCGACGTGTGTATAATATAAATAAAATAAAAGCCATTCTTAAATATTGAAAAAATGTATTTTGATGAAGCTATTCTCGAACTTATATATAAGCAAGCTGCATGACTGATGAACAATATATTATACTTACGTTCAACATATGTACAGAGTGGAAATGTGTTATGAAATACAATGCAATAGAGAGAATCGCTAAAACCGCCTTCCGTAGAGATTCGGATGATACAAGATTGCATTTGGTACCATTAAAATGGGATGATTACTTTTTTTTTTCTTGTATACTTCCACTTTAGGCCGCCTTAGGTACCGGCATACACTGCCTATGAGGTATGAGACGAAATCAGATACAGATAGTTTTTTTTTGTTATCCTACCTATTCGCTGGTAGCCTAAGAGGCTAATCCAATTACGTCCAGACAGGTAGGTGAGCTCACGGGCTCTTCTCAACCTGAGAGAATTTGCTAACACTAGCCCTAGCTAGAGCAGTGCTTCGCAGAATCTACCATTGGACCGGAATCGCGACCCACTGAGAAGATCCGGCGAGAAACTCAGTGGGCTGTGTGTATGGGTTAACTACTTATCGCGCTGCTTAGAGGTAGACTTTACCTTATGCAGGGATTATTGTTTGTGGTAGATTTTCCCTCATTCCCGTTTCTGTCGCGAAGCAGTCGAAGCGTTCCGGTGCGAAGACTCTGTTAGCGGTTATACTGCACAATAGAATCTTCGATCTTAAGCTCCAAGGCGGATAACGGTCTTGACCTTGTAATGTCTATGGGTTGAGTTTATTTCCCCATATAAGCGATAAGAAAACACCGATTGTCGAATAGCAAATGATATATCTTCAACAGGGAAATCGTACGTAAATCTATAGTAGCTCAGGAGAGCTCAATAAAACAATTTCCTACCCATTCAGATACCCATCTAGTAAATTTAGATTCTTGTCGAACCCGTCGCTTGCGACGAAGGGCTCGGCGAGTAAATTAACCCCCAGGTGCAGTCCACTGAGTTTCTCGCCGGATCTCCTCAGTGGGTCGCGTTTCCGATCCGGTGGTAGATTCTGCGAAGCACGGCTCTTGGTAGGGATCGTGTTAGCAACAACGTCAGCTTTGCAACGTTATGCTGACATAACCTCTCAAGGATACCACCTTAGGCAGGAAAAAAAAAGTTAGAAAGGCTACCGAAAAAACAGTATTTGGTGAGTTAAAAAGAAATTGAATTTTGTACATATATCTTTTATTTAATCAGGAATTGTGTGCATTAGTCTCGTATTTTCGGTTCCCGTAACACAGGAGAAAATGCTAATTTGAGTCAGTTGCATGCGATTCATAGTTTCAGTATATAGTATTTTTTGTTTAGGTACTAAAAGATTAGGCCGTTCGGTGTTTGACATAATAATTTGTTTCATAAGTCATTTACACTCTGCATTGAACGTGTTAAGTGCACATTAAAATTTAGTTTTTGTACCTACCTACGGCATTTATTTAAGCGTCTCAACAAAAGAATATGTCCATGGTAGAATTAGAATGTATTCAGTGCTAAAGCCTGAGCGCTTTTTTTTGGTTACATTTCTACTAAAGTTGAAAATGATCTACCGTAACCATGTAAAGTATAAATTGTAATGCATTTACGTGAAAAATTCCAAATCAGTATTAGATTTTAAAAAAAACCTTATTGAACGTAAATATATCGGATGGGGTGTAAAGTTATCGTTCTCAAATACGGAAAGCGAAGATGTTTCCTAATACGACCATATTTAAAATGGCGATTGAAAAATTACAATTCATTGACGGCTTTTTCATTGCGCGCAGTGTAACACAAAAACAAATGAACTGGTGCGTCAGGTCAACGAACCTTGGTATAATCTTCTTCACTGTGCAGATTAATGAAATATTGCTTGTTTAAAACGAAAAGTATTTATTTTTAGCTAACATTATAATCAATTTGGTTAACTAATAAATATTATAAATGAATTATTTCTACAATACAGTCGCAAACTGCCACTGTATTTAATCATCGACAACAAAAAATTATAGAATCGATAAATGACAATCAACCATGGACAAAAATAATTATTGAGTTACTAACCTTTTTATAGTTTATCTGTTTTTTTTTTACAATAAGCCATTCCATACAATAGTTGTTTTTGTTGTTGTTGAAAAAAACATAATTTTCACGTTTACATTTTAATTGGACGACATATTTATTACAATAAATTTTTCATGTTCAATTCCTGTCATTAATTAGGTTTCATTACGATAGAATACGAATTAAGCCCTAGATGCAATTTTTTTTAGTAATTAATGTAGGTACCTATCATTAAGGAAGTTTTATTGTTTTGAATTTAGGTAATCGGCATTCGAAGTGTGATATCCCATCAGCGTTTATTAAAGGACTGCTTTTCGTAAATAATAAAAAAAAAAGTTTTGTATATTCACGTACAAATTTAGATGAATAGTTTTTTTTTTACAACAGAATATGTAGCGCGTATACGTTCGAGAAATACTTACAGAGTGCTTAGTGCGATTTTCTTAACGTTCTCGATAGCGTAAAAGTTAACCCAATTTTGTATGCAGTTGGAACAGCGCCCCTAGCGGCAAACGTACGCAAACGATCCCGTTCCATACAAATATGAGTTAACTTTTACGCTATCGAGAACGTTAAATAACTCGCACTAAGCACACAGGTTCGACTTAATAATCTTTAACAGTTGCAACACTAATATGCTTCACTTGTCTTAGCTATGATGAAGTGAATTGTTGTTACTCTATCTGAGTCGTCTATTATCAAAGGTGGCAATCTGTGCATTGGGACAAAAAAAATTATTGATATGTCAATACAGATTGATTTGAATATAATCGTCTCCTTCAAAGAATACGGTTCAAAACCTGCATTAAATAAAGGTTAATACTTAACCTGTTATTTATCTAAGATGTCGTTCAGAAGAGTTTTGTGACTGCCAATGAAATACAAAGTCAATAATTCGTTTTTCTGATTTACCAATAATTGTACAAAAGTCACATTGCCGGCTTTGATAATAGTCGACTCATCTATGATTTAAAAAATAATATTGCATGGAGGTTCTTCATATAGTCGTATTTTTAATTAGACGAAGTCAACTGACGTTTACTGTGCTGTCAGTTTTTGATGAAATAAGAATAGTGTTGTGACAAAGTGAATGATTGAACAAACTCCTGAATTAATGAAATTGCCTCGATTGTCTAGTGAACAGTTAGTGTGCCGAACTGCCGATATCGGGTACGGGGTTCGAATTTTAGTCGTGCTTTGTACATACTAACGAGTTTTCGACGATTATGTTCCTATAGTATCTACCTATACTCAATACCGAGGGTTTTAAACATTAAGGAAAACATTGCGAGGAAAATTGTAAGATTGTCTTATTTTCATTACATCATATAGTTGAAATTATAGATGTATAAAATATAACAATTATAGGTAGGTAATGAAAATTAAAAAAAAACTGATTGTAGTTACATACTACTAGTAACATATATTGGAGCACTTTAATACAATTTTATTGTAAAATAGAAATATTATAGTTTGAAATGATTAACTCTTCACACTCATTGTTCATTCATGTGATTGAACGAGAACTGAACGCATCACTATTACTTTAAATATGGCAACATTATTTTAGAAAGTGACATTAGCTACTGTCAGCTGGCTTCGTCTAATTAAAAATACGACTATAGAACCAGTTTTAAAAAAGCAATGCTTTATATAAAGTGCCTTAAAAATGTTTGCGCTAACAACATTGAGAGAACGTATATGTCTGCATTAAACTTGAAAATTTTTGGCTGTCGCATATAAAATTATCTTGTGCAATAAAAATATTATACGATTTAGCTCTCGGCCACATTGTTTTCATCTAAATAAATATATTTTAGGTTACGTCTCGACACTCAATGTACACTGAGTTTCATGTTTAGATATCGTTATGTTTGTGTAAATTATGACTATGAATAAAAGTTATAAAAAATGGTAAGATGTGTTTTAATTTTAATTAAACGGTGCCAATCGAATGTTAATAGGCTGCGAAGCCTGAGCACTCGTGAGCTCACTTTACAGGGTATATTTTATATTATGTTGTCCAATCTCTAATTCATGGACAAGTAATCAATATACACGAATTACAATACTCAATAAAAAGGGCTAAAAACGAAAATTATATGTTTTTTAATTTATTTTTTATTGCATATGTGGATGTGGATGTGGATGGCCCACCTGGTGTTAAGTGGTTACCGAAGCCCATAAACATCTACAGCGTTGATGCCGCCGATGAACAAATCTTAAGGTGGGTACCTTGAGATTTGTTCGAAGGTCTCAGTATAGTTTACTAGTGGTAGGACCTCTTGTGAGTCCGTGCGGGTACGAGGTACCACCGCCCCACCTATTTCTGCCGTGAAGCAGTAATGCGTTTCGGTTTGAAGGGTGGGGTAGCCGTTGTAATTATACTTGAGACCTTAGAACTTATATCGCAAGATGGGTGGAGCATTTACGCCATAGATGTCTATGGGCTCCAGTAACCACTTAACACCAGGTGGGCTGGGAGCTCGTCCACCCATCTAAGCAATAAAAAAAAAGTTACAACGGCTGCCCCAACCTTCAAGCCGAAACGCATTACTGCTTCACGGCAGAAATAGGCAGGGCGGTGGTACCTACCCGTGCGCACTCAAAAGAGGCCCTACCACCAGTAATTACGCAAATTATAACTTTGCGGGTTTTAATTTTTTTACATAATGTTATTCCTTCACCGTTGAATTCAATCGAGAACATTTGTTAAGTACGTACATTAGAAAAAATTGTACTCGCCTGCGGGATTGCATCGCTTGACACGAATGCACCCGACTTTTTATCCTTTAGGCCACGACGACTTATATAACTTGATCTACACTTTACGTTTTAATAGTGTGTGAACTCATTCTGCATCAAATACTTTTGATGGTGTATGGCAATCCTAACTTCGTGCTTTATGACTATCACATGTTTTAATGGTGCCTACTATCCTTTTCTTGACTATTGTCTTTTAGCTATAAGACAGCTTATTGTACTTTACTTAAGACATACTTTCTCTTAACGTTTTGTTTTATCACGAAGCATACATCGACCTCCTTTAATATTTGACACATAGCATCGTCAATCATAAAATTGTTCCTTATGAATAACCATCCTCAGTATAGTTGTAGCAAAGTAAGATTGGGCACTGCCCTTAGTTGTGTGAGTGACCAATCTGTATTCGCGTCAATGTAGGCTATATGTAGATAATGTAGCTATTTACCGCTCCCCTCCCGGCTTGAGCCCCGTGAGCTCACCTACACCTTAAGGAGAAGCTGAAATAGCCTCTCAAGGCTATCAGCATGGGTAGGAACAATAAAAACCGCTCCGTCTGGTACACACAATAACGAAAATGTGTATTTACGATTACAACTACATATAAAGGCCACGCGCGCTCGTACTTTGCAACAACTATAGGTCATCGTCCTCGCCGAACCCGTCGCTTGCGACGAAGGGCTCGACGAGTAAACTAACCCTCAGACACAGCCCACTGAGTTTTTCGCCGATTCTTCGCAGTGGGTCGCGTTTCCGATCCGGTGGTAGATTCTGCGAAGCACTGCTCCTGCTAGGGCCAGTATTAGCAACACTTCCAGTTTGAGCGCCGTGGGCGTGAGCTCACCTTACACGTCGAGGAGAAGCTGAAATAGCTTAAGGCTATCAACAGAGGTAGGAAAAAAAAGTCGGAAACGCGGTGTGAAGAATTAAAAAACAATCGAAAACATAGTAGATAGATTTTTGTTTTATTTGTTACGAGCCTAAAGGTTTTATTGGACCGGGCTGTGGACCTTGCTGGTGGGGGTAGAAGATTGGCGGCGCCCCTTGTTTCAGGTCCGGTACGTCACCGGACTGCGGGTACGGGTGGTGGGGCGGAACGCCCATCCATTGTGGATACCAGTATAGGCCCTGAAAAAAGAACAATGATTAAAGGAAATGAAGTATGCTTAGCCTGACTAAGCCAGTGTTGCTATCCTAGCGAAAATACTTCCCATTCTTTTCTAATTGCTTACCTAACATCTCGATAATGAAGGAATCATCTATCTATCTATATATAAAAATGAATTCCTGTTCGTTAGTCTCGCTAAAACTCGAGAACGGCTGGACCGATTTGGCTAATTTTGGTCTTGTATTATTTGTGGAAGTCCAAAGAAGGTTTAAAAGGTAGATAAATATGAAAATGCCCGGAATTAAATAAAAATAGCAATTTTGTTTTTCCTTTGATGTGTCCCCCGTCGGACGGACTCCTTTTGTTTGTTTTAAGTTTATTTTATACAAAAGTTTAGGTGTTTTATTTATCGATTCAGGCACGACGAAGTTTGCCGGGTCAGCTAGTATTTAATAAAGGTCAATCATCGTAGGTAAGTAACAAACCGACACATTATTGGGAATATTAGTATATGTGTCATCGAGATATGATAATATCACTATAATATTATTTATTTTGCTTACCTACAAGACAAAAGGTCATCAACTTCCAAAATATCATGTTTGCAGTCTCGATGTATGTACTTACAGATAGTAGGTATGTCAGAGATATTTGAATATGTATGTTACAGTATGTTATCATTGCGCCATGAAGGCTAACATTAAAAGAGAGAGTATTCTTTATTGTACACCAAAAAATAATTAAACAATGCGATACATTAAATACAAAAAAAGTACAATTAACTTGAAAATGCTACGGTAAAATAATTAAATGAAAGGGTAGGCATATATATATTATTTACTAGCTTTTGCCCGCGACTTCGTCCGCGTGGAATAGTTCACAAATAATGCTTTATTTTAGAACAAATTTGGTTAGCATAAAACACGTTATCGTGAGCTAACCTTAACATATAGACATAATATGCTGTCGCAGACTTTTTTTTAGATCTATTAAAGAGAAACAATTCTGTCATACATTATTTTAGCGAAACTTTAACCTTTTCTGCAGCGCACGCAGCGACAGCTCTCAAAAGGGAAAAAAAAAACAATTTTGAAACATTCTTTTTTGGTGCTCCGCTTGTATTGGTCATAGCGTGATGTTATATAGCCTTCCTCAATAAATGGGCTATCTAACACTGAAAGAATTTTTCAAATCGAACCAGTAGTTCCTGAGATTAGCGCGTTCAAACAAACAAACTTTGCAGCTTTATAATATTATTAGTACCTATAGATTGTTTTGATGAACCTACCTTATTCGCTGCACCTTGGCAGCTAAATCTGTATTCATTGACAGTTAACGGATCCAAGTAGCTGACGCCGGCTATCGATCCATAGTTTGGCGGGAACATGAACCAGCAACCATCGAGAGAATCTAAAATGTAGAATTGCAGGAGCTTTATTTATTGTTTAGATGGGAGGACGAGCTCACAGCCCAACTTTTTTTTGATTGCTTAGATGGGTGGACGAGCTCACAGCCCACCTGTTGTTAAGTGGTTACTGCAGCCCATAGACATCTACGACGTAAATGCGCCACCCACCTTGAGATATACGTTCTAAGGTCTCAAGTATAGTTAGTTGTTACAACGGCTGCCCCGCCCTTCAAACCGAAACGCATTACTGCTTCACGGCAGAAATAGGCAGGGTGGTGCTACCCACCCGCGCGGACTTACAAGAGGTCCTACCACCAGTAAAACTACCGTTAGTACCACAGTTAAGTTGACTTTCAGACACGAGATGGTAGTTTCAATGGGATGCCGTGTATAATGTACAGCAGAAACGGACAGTACCTACAGTAAAAGCTCCTTATTCCCGCTTCCTTAATTAACGACGAATTAACGACAGCTATATAAGTTAACTAGTCGTACTCGCCCGCTTCGCTGGGCATTTAAAATTAACATTATTATTTAATATCATTGTTATTAGGGAGTCTAACACTCATATAAATATTAGCCTATCCATTAAGTACATGTATTTACTAACATAGATCCTAAGTTTCAACTCAATCGAATGCATGGTTCAGTAGCTATAACGGAACATCCGTAAAAACCACTGTAGATTTATATATTAGTATAGATTCTTTTAGATATAAAGATATCGACAAATATTTTAGAAACTTCGCTGAATTGCCAATCCAACTTACAAGTGATATTGGGGTTGAAATCGGTGTTCGGGTCCGTTGTCACTCGGAACGCTTCGGTTGTTTGTTCAATGAAAGGAGGTATAGGAGACAGACCCCTCCCAGGATCGCCGGGTATAATGAATGGACCTATCAAAAGTTTAACAATTTCACTGGGCATCGGGATGTTACGAAGTCCGATATGCCTTTCTTACAGTTGATAAAGTAGGAATTTAGATTGTAGTACTTGGTCGATGAATGAGGTTACGACCCGGTATTCAGGTCTTTTTTTATTGCTTAGATGAGTGGCCAAGCTCACAGCCCAACTGGTGTTATGTGGTTACTGGAACCCATAGACATCTACAACGGAAATGAACACCTTGAGATATAAGTTTTAGTTTATATTGAATTATAGACACTACAACCTGAATGCCACCCATCTTTGAAACATAAAATTAAAGTTCTTAATATATCGTACACCTTTCTTACAGTTGACAAACTAGGAATTTAGATTGCACTTGGTGGATGAATGAGGTCACAACCCAAACGGTGTTCAGTATTCAACTATCACGACGTGAATGCCACCCATCTTGAGACATAAGATTAAAGTCCTTATTGTATCGCGTTATGGCTAACCCGTCATACAATCTGGAACGCATGACTACTTGCCCATACGGGTTCATACCACCAGTGAACACACTAAATTTGAAAAAAATATTCGCTCTGCTAAACCTTTCGGATATTTTATAAATATTTATTTGGTAACTTTTAAATTTATTTATCAGTTACTTTGGGCTGTTATATCAACTATGCTTATGAAAAACGGCTTTTTTATTAGATAGGGAATCAGGCCCTTAATATCTTTCAACTTTGATGAACGATCCCAAAATGAACTCATCACGCATTGCAATAATAAATAATATGTGTAATTTATTGCAAACCCAACTATATATTTATGTTACATCAAACTTTTCTGTAGGTGAACCGATTTGAATGATTCTATTTTAACTTGAAAGTTGTTGCTTCTCCCAACTCCCCATTGAGAAAATTAAAAATTCACTTTATCCCGATCTAACTTATCGTTTTGAAGTTATCTAAAACTATGCATGTTTCATTAACTTAGATTACATCGATAATATTCTCATTTTATTATGTTGAGGTCAGCTTTCCCTACTTGCTAGATCTTTGCATTACGAGTATTTTAACATAGCACCTATAGATTTTTTTCTGTAGCAACTTTAATTCTTTTTTTCGTACCAGTACAAGATCCAAAGTAAGACGTAGAAAATTATTAAAAAATAAATCATCATACCTCCGTAGAAGTTGGTGTTGTTCCATTCGCATACGTGATGATCACATTGCAATGGTGATGATTTTTCTTTTGTGTAATAAGTGTGACCGTTCGGGAGTGACTGCAAATGTGTTTAAATAAAGCAATTTAAATCTGGTCTCTGATAACGGAAGCCAAAAACTTTTCCGAATTACAACGCTAATAGAGTGTGTAATGATTATTAAGCTTGTATGTATGTATGTCTTAGACCAACTAACTGCAGATCAAGACAGGACTTTGCCTTCGCCACTCACTCGAGTACTTCAGTCATATTGCTCGGAAAACACCCGATAGCCTAGAGAGACTATTCGTGACAGGTAAGATCGAAGGAAAGAGACCGCGCGGGCGCAGTCCGACAAGGTGGTTCGATCCAATCCGCACCAGACTAGAGATCCCATTTCACGAAGCCTTTCATGCGGCCAATAATCGGAGGCGTTGGAGGAACATTCATCATCAGCCTGTATCTGTTCACTGCTGGATGTAGGCCTCTCCCATAGTCCGCCACAATGAACGATCCTCCGCCTTCCGCATTGGAGGAACATTACAAGGAGTAAAATCCTGTCGAAATATGATGGCCACGACCATCAGTAGTAAGGTAATTACGCGAGGAGGAGATTACCCGATCACTCCACCCGATGAGACTATGGAATAACATGTGGCGAGAGGAAATTGAGCACACAAAATAACCCTACAAGAGGACTTCCAAAAAAAAGACCAGAAAGACATTTGAACAAAAACAAAAGTTTGAAACAACCCATACCAATAAATAATCATAATGCCTGAACCGTATTCCTTGAATGTTAAAGTCCAGTATGAAAGAGCCCGACGTTATGATACAAGACGCTGCAGTCAGCGGAGGTAGTTTGTAAGTTTCTGTACCACATTTCACTATTGCTTTGGGAAGTGTAGAGATATCACGGACGTGTTGAAGGCCTTTCTTGAACGGAAACCTGAAAGACAATTTGAATTTTACAAAGGAAATTTATTATTTATGCTGGACTGTAAAAGGCAGCTACAAGTAACCCTTTTTTTTTGGCACAACATTGAGTATAAAGAGTAGACTATGATTTCATGAAGTACCAAAACAAGACATTCCGAATGCTACTGGCTTTCAGCAGACACAGTAGAAGATTCCGTCGGAATTAACGTTTACAATTTCTTTTTGTTTTCGTCTTTTCTTTAGCTTCCTTTTTTATTTTATGGTTCTTAATTATTAGCAATTATTTTTTTGCTTTTTATTGGAAGTCATCGTTGCTAATGGATATCAGCAAAGTCCAGTGCACAACCAAGTTGCTACCTAGAAATTTGTAAAAAGTATAAAGTGACACAGTACTAAACAGACATGACGCATTATGAAATGTTTAACGCTGGGGAATCGATTTACGGATACCCGGTCCGGGGGGTAACAAACCGGGTTATGTCGGACTCCGGTGGCTCCCGAAAGTAAGAGGGAGACGAGGAGACGAGGCCAAGGTCCTCCACCTCCCCGAATTCCTCGCAGGAGACTACGCCTTGAAAAAGGCGCGCGAGGCGCTCGCCCCGCATAACCAACTACCGATTAAACCCCATCGAGCTCCACCACACCGGCTACACCTGACCTATCGAGCTCCACCACACCGGCTACACCAGACTTTTGGCGCGCACTGTGGTACCGTAGGTCTACCTTCGCTTGTGCCCGTCCTGATGATAAGACGGGATTTCATCTCCGGGAATATCCCGAAGGACGTCGTCTCGGAAAACACACCGTGGGATTATGACGTGGTCCTAAAAATGGCAGGCTTCGTCGTGTCGTGTTTAGTAATTATTATTTGTTTATTATCAGTTGAACAAACCGACAATTGTTTTATTGTATTTATATAACATACGAAACGAAGATTGTCAACATCAGTTGCATCATTAACAACATTATTTTAACGCCATCCGATCGAACATGATGTAAATATCTGATGTTCATTTTGATCAACATTTCTTCAAATTTATGACTTTCATAATTTTTCTTTTGTCTTACAGGAAAAATTTGGTGTTAATTTTAGTGTACCAATGGACCACTGTATCCTGTTTTCCTTGGGCTGTTAACGCAATGAGATGGATCGATCTGTCTGGACTGCAGGAATCTAAGTTGTACGATATGGACATTTGGTTCGACAGAGCCGTTGCTATATCTCTAGACCTTCCAGACCATTCAGGAAAAAACGTCAAGAAAGACCACATAACTGTAGCCACAGGTGTATTCATCACCAACAGACTGATCCTAACTTCTTACAATGCTTTCAGACATTTAACAAAGATAAAGACGGCACGAAAGTCAATGATAATTAGCATACTCGTGAAGAGGAAGTTTATAAATTTCGCTAAAGTACAATATACAATGATGTACAGAAATATAGCGTGTGCGCGACAAGTTATTCCAATGAGAGATTCGGATATACCAAACGATCTATGGCACGGAATAAATCGCACATTCAGTCCAATCCACGACCTTATGGTCATACGTATAAATAAGAAAGTACCCTTTCTGGATCCGAATCCCAAATTATATTCCTTCGATTTGTACAAAACAAAAGGAATCAGCGAAAGAAATGCCGGACCATTATTGATTCAGATCGCACAACCCGATCAGCCCATAGGCAGAGACATCAAATTTGCCTCTTTAGGTCACATAGATGATCAACAAATATTTACCAATCATCAGTTAAGATCGACGAAGTATGATCCAGAGGATAATGTTTTAGTGGCTTGCGACCAATGGCTGCCGCGACAGTGGGGCTATTTTATATGCGTAAATAATATTTACGAATATGAATACTTGGCTTCTGGTGCTATCTTGGTTTATAACCGTACCGTTTATGGTATAGGCAGTTTTTCGCTGAATAAGGGGAAAGGTGGGGTGTTAGTGTTCACAGATGTAAGGGCTTACTATCGCCTACTTTTTAAAACTTGTACGCATAATGATCAGAAAGTTTGAAGTGTTAAATTTTATGTAGATGATTTACGGCTATACATCTATATCTATACAGTGCAGTATCGTAGTGTAAGAAATTATATTAGATGACATTACGTTTGCTTTGTACATTTCTTAATACTAGAGGTCACGCAGTAGTCGAAATTCGACTATAATTAATTGGAATTGTAAGTTTGTACACTATTACGATTGTATTTTATACTTCTATAATCACAAATTTCGCCAAGACTACACTATAAAAAATATTAACAAAGACAAACAATATTTATTCTATTCTCAATTTGACAACAGACGTCAAGAGCAAAAGTTTGACAATAAATAGTATGCATGCGTGTATGCGTAAAATACATGGTATGTAGTGTGTGTAATGTTTTCTTTATTCATTTAATGTATCTTTTATGCATTATTTTAAAAAAAAATTAGCATTGTGCACTTCTTCTCTATATTCTCTTTATGTGTGGAAAATTTCATACTCCTCCGTCCGCGCAATTTTCGTAAAAAGGGATACAAAGTTTTTGCTTCACGTATTAATATATAGATGAATATGTTCGGAATTTTTACTTGAATCTAGCCGACACTTTAATCTTACGCGTCAAAATTCACGGTGGATTTCTCATCAAGGCGTGTCTGTTTGTATAGCCAATACTTCATCTGCCTAAGGTAAAGATACCGGAACACATTCTGATTTACAGATTGACCTCCTAGCAAACAACACCGTTTTGATGGAGTGACTTTCCCTTCCTTTTATACTACTATTAGCGTTATCTAAGTCTTTGATTTGGTTCTAGAGAAACAATTGACTTACCTGAAAATACATATGCCGAGATGGCACTCTAGTCCGTGTATGTAATTGTCCATTTGAAATACGACTGTAGGGTCTTCCTCGAGATAATAATGCTTGTCGTCCATGAAATGAATGAAGCCGAGAAAGTGGAAGGCCCGACTCTTGCAATACGGCGCAAAACCACGACCCATGTTATAGATGTCGCTGTACAGCTCCGAGACAAAGAGGTACACGTTTTTCCCGCAATAGAACTCTGTATTGATAATAATAATAATAATATTACACTTTATTTAACACCACATGTACAGAGTAAGCATATAAAACAAATAATAGTCGGTGACATAAATTGGCGGCTTTATCGATCTCGATCGATCGATCTATGAAAGCGATCTCTTCCAGGCTACCTTGCAGGGAGAGGAATGAGCGAACTGGACGGTGCTATATCTTAATAAACTTACATAAAAATATATTCTTATATACACATAATACAATAATGATACAGCTTAATGAAATGAAACATGATTTTATACAAGTTCTTCTGTATTTGAGTCTTAATGGTACAATGGGACAGTAGCAGTACAGAATACAGCCATAACTTGACGCTGGTAGGCCGCGTTCGCGCCGTTCCTATGAACTGGTTTTTGTTTTTTTTACCTATTTTAGTAACCTCAAGGGGTTATTCTAGATTCACCGAACTATTAGGTGAGCTCGCGGGACTCAAATCGGAAGTGCTGCCTGGCCCTAGCAAGAGCCGTGCTTCGCAAAATCTACCACCGGATCGGAAACGCGACCCACTGAAAAGATCCGGCGAGAGACTCAGTGGGCTGTGTCTGTGTGTTAATTTACTCGTCGAGCCCTTCGTCGCAAGCGACGGGTTCGGGATCATAGGATTAAATTGATATTGTTTTTATGCCTTCTCGTCGATAAGCAACGTACCTTGACTCAAATAGAATTCCGCCGGAACCGCTCCGCCGGAAACAGAGTTGTAAGTTGTGACTCTCTCAGTTTTAATAGCGTTGTGGTTGTCGTACATCGTCAACATATTATCTATGGCGTCATCTAATGCTATCAGTAAGACCTGAATAAAAAACAATTTAATTACATACGAGAACCTTTTCTCGGAGAGTTAACAGAGTCATCTAATTAATATTTATTTATATATTATATTAATTAATTACATTTTTCTTTTTTTGTTCTCTTATGAAAGTCCTTTTAGCGCTTGGTGCAACATAGAAAAACAAAGATTATGCATTTTGCTTCTAGACATGGAACCACGCTTCGAATAACCATTTATGATTAATATAGATATTCTTGAGCTACCCTCCTCCTCCTCCTTCAGTCGATCGCTCATTGCTGAGCATCGTGATGCGCCCGCCTGTGCCCCTTTGTTTTGTAATTTGTAGTCACGTAAAGAAGAAGACGAAAGTGCAAATTGTTGAGACGCTCGTTTTCTTAATCCCTTTGTATGGCGCTGAGACCTGGATCTTGAAAGAGTCTGACAGGCGACGCATAGACGCGTTTGAGATGTGGTGCTGGCGGCGCATGTTGCGCATCCCTAAGACGGCTTTCCGGACGAACGCTTCCATCCTCAACGAGCTAAAAGTTGACCAGAGGCTATCCACTAAATGCCTATATAGAGTGCTCCAATACTTTGGTCATATAGCAAGAAAACCCTCTGACAACCTAGAGAGATACCCACAAAACATCAAATAAATAGGAAGAAAAGCAAGATCCTCTTAACTATTTTATTCTACTAGTCTTACTAAAAGACGTAATTACTGTTGGAGCTTATTGAGTTTGATTTAGGATTGATGAAATATGTATGTACGCTAAGAAACGTGAAATATTTTTTTATGTTTAAATTATGTTTATGTGTAGTATTTTAAGAAAATAAAAACAACGCTTACTCGATTTATTCTCTTTCACTACGCTGATCAACTCAGCCTTTTAAAGTGTTATATATATAACCCTTCTACTCATATCTGTTCATAAAATATGCACCCCACGGTTTTTTTACAATAAAATCATTTTTTCTTACAGTATTTTTAATTCAAGTTTATTAAAATTTATTTTCTCTTTTTTAGTTGGATTTTCTATAAAAGCGTACTTTGTTAGTTTTTTTAAACTATTATTTATTATTCAATTTTTAGTTTAATTTCAATTTTTTCAATATATTTTTTTAATATTGAATTGTCATCGGTCCTTAATAAGTATACCAAATTTCGAGTTAATCAGACGTTTTAAAGGGGGTCAAAATCATGTTTAAAGATTCCGTTACATACTAACATAATATACATACGTCTGAAGCTAATAAAAGCGTATTAAAAATGGCGCTAATGAAAGGATTTATCCAGTAAAATCTATGATTGGAAATATTGTATTAGTCTTACGGAAAACAAAACTGCTAAGTATATATTGGAAACGATGGGTATTGTAAATATTTTATTGTTCCATCGTTCCAAAAACGAAAACATGGGTAGTTTTCCAATTACAGAGCATAATGCGACTCAGTGACGCACAATGCCGAATTATGCTGAAGCTTAATTGGAACGTGAATTAGTTTTCAAATGCATCAGCAGAGTGCGCTAAGTTAGCACAGTTTTAATTAACATTGATTATTTCTAAGAAACTACGACGAAACGAAAGCCTTACAATTTTTTTCAACATTAAATAATATTACTAACGATAATATAAACAAAATTTCGATCAATGCCCAACTTAAAGAAAAAACACTTGTCAATTTTCTGTCAGTGAGTCGGTACGCGAGAGCAGTACTTTTGAGAGTGCTCGATTGTGCAAAGCGTTTCTGTAGTTGGTTTTTTTGTTTTTCCTACCTAAGCTGGTAGCCTAGAGAGGCTATTCCAGCGGAACCTTAACTAGTAGGTGAGCTCACGGGGCTCAAACCTGACGACGATGCTAACACGAACCCTAGCAAGAGTCGTGCTTCGCAGAATCTACCACCGGATCGGAAACGCGACCCACTGAGAAGATCCGGCGAGAAACTCAGTGGGCTGTGTCTGAGAGTTAATTTACTCGTCGAACCCTTCGTCGCAAGCGAACGGTGACCGGTGCTTGAAGTACCTAGAAGCACCGTTAGTGGATCGGGAGGATCCGAGATGACGTGTTTTGGGCGACGTCGACTGCTTTCCATTCTGTCCGCAGGATCGGGAATGTAGTTACTGGCGGCCACGATGAGAGGGTTCTCGTGTCGTGCCGCTTTATCGAAGTGGGGTAGTTGGAACATTCAACGTTGAGCATTATGCCGCATAATGCGCTCTTGTGCTGTAATTGGAAAACTACCATGATGAATCGTAGATTCACTTTCTATATAGTCCACGCGAAAATCATAAATAAATAGTTAATTCAATTCGATATGAACATTAAAATGGCACTAACCTTTAATTCTTTGATATGCAAATGAATGAATCTTGCTAAATGATCCGTTGCGATGTGGATGTGTTCATTGATGATAAACTGCCATTAAAAAAACATTTTAATTATTATTTTTGTAACACTTATAAGAATCTAATTGCAATGCTAGTAAATAATTAATGATGGCAATTAACTTAAACTTAAATAGTTTTTGTTGAGAATGAGTTAGGTAAATAATTTCCAACACTCTGCACATAATAATCAGTTAATTCAATACAAACATTAAACGGTGAAGACATTGATATTTATCATAAAAAAATTCAAAAAGACTTCAAAAAATTATTTTCATAATCTTAAATACTTAAACGTTTCAATATTATTATCATTTCATAACAATTGATGTACAAAGTTTTACTTAGCATATTTATAATTATCTCAATATCTTCGTTTACGAGTGAGTTTGCTATTGTACCTTTTTGATTAAAAAAATCTACCACCAGCATACGTTTGGGCTTGAAGAAGAATAAAACATAATAATAGTACAATTGAGGCTTCAACCTCAGTAACCGCCTCGGGATAGAGAGAGAGAGAGAGAGAGAGAGAGAGAGAGAGAGAGAGTATTCTTTATTGTACACCAAAAAACAAATAAACAGTGCGATACATTAAATACAAAAAAGTACAATTGGCGGTCTTATCGCTAAGAGCAATATCCACGAAGAGAATATCCACGGGCTTCGATACCTTAGCATGTTTGCTAACGCTTTCGCAGCTAAAATCGCAGGCTAAATATTTTAATTAATTCAGTACACAATCTACCTGATCGGGAGCTCTCTTAATCTTCATCATTTCGATTTGGTAATGGGCCAAATGGTCGAGTTTATCGGTTGGATCGTGGCCGTATATCTCGTAGGCATCTATCACCATTGCTAGGGTGAGATTCTCGCTCGGCTCTTGGCAACAAGGGTGGTTGCTTATGACGTAACATTTCTGTAATAATGGCTTCGTTTAAAAGACGCTGATAGTTGTAATAAGGAGCTGTCAAGAGACTGGGACTTTTTCTGCGGAAAGATCATGCTGTCTGACTCGAAGGCTAGCTTAGGCTACGTTATAGAGGGTGTCCCAGAATGAATGGATAGTCCTGAAACACCTCATAGTTGAACTATTAGGAACTCAAAAAAAAATTAAAAAAGTATTTCTTAGGGAGTACCTAAATTAAAAATAAAGAAAAAATACCAAATTTCATGATTAAAATTTAAGTTCATATTAACTTTTATAAAAAATTACACTAGCTACTCATACGATTTCCTGCATATTCCTTAGTATATTATAGTCCATATAGAATATTATAACACCAAAAAGCCTATAGATTTCATTAATTTGTAGCTGTCGTATATTCCGGTATGGAAAATATTAACTTTTTTTTAAAATACGTATTTTGGGTACTACTTGAGAAAAAAAAAATTTTTTTTTGGTGCCCCCAATAGCTCTACTATGAGCGGTTTTAGGATTATCCATTCTTTCTGGGACACCCTGTATAACTCATGCTGCTTTATTAAGCTTCAATATAGATAGAAATAGATATTACTGGTTTTTACTATTGACAGGGCGTCTTGTGAACGTGAACTGGTAAATACCACCACCCTGTATGTTTCTTTAGTGAAGCAGTTTCGGTTTGTAGGGCGGAGCAGCTGTTTTACTGTAAAGACTGAACATTATAACTCATGTCTTATGTCAGAGTGACATGAAATTTGGCTCAGAAATAGTGTGATGAATTGATATTTCACGAATAAGAGGCCCGTATTCTGAAGCACAATCATATTTTTAAGCGATTTTCCTACACAACAGATAATACAGGGGCCAGTGCTAGCACACACCCGGCTTGAGCCCCGTGAGCTCACCTACACGTCAAAGAGGAGCTGAAATAGCCTCTCAAGGCTGTCAGCATAGGAAGGAAAAAAAGCAGGAGGGACAAATGTGTTTCCATAACTATTTATTTATATCTCGATCTCAATATTTCAGTAAACCATCACCATCATCAGTTTTTATTATTATTATTTTTATGGCCCTTGTAGGCAGACGAGCATACGGCCCCCGTGATGGTGAATGGTTACCGTCGCCCAAGGACTTCAGCAATGCCGGAAGCAGAGTGAAGCCGCTGCCTACAAATAATACTTCCTTAATACTTACCACAAAACACAATTGAATATACAATGCAAGAACTAAAATGATTTTTTTTAAAGTAACAATCATATCGGCCGCTACCCAGCGTTTCGATCACCGGCATAGTACTACCGTAGGCTCGTTATCGAAATTCATTTAGTTTTATCGACAATTAAAAAAATGCTAACTAAATTTATTTAAAGCCAAGCGTGCCTTTTGGGAAGCCAGGTTTTTTTTTATTTGTATTGCTTAGATGGGTAGACGAGCTCACAGCCCACCTGGTGTTAAGTGGTTACTGGAGCCCATAGACATCTACAACGTAGACGCGCCACCCACCTTACAAGTACATACACCATACAAGTTCTAAAGTCTCAGTATAGTTACAACGGCTGCCCCACCCTTCAAACCGAAACGCATTACTGCTTCTCGGCAGAAATAGGCAGGGTGGTGGTACCTACCCGCACGGACTCACAAGTGATCCTGCCACAAAGTTAAAAATATGTAAGTAAATATTTAAGTAAATGAACAACAATGGATTAAAATTATTTTACAATCATAAATTATATAATTTCATTTCATTTTTTTATCGCGGTGCAACTATAGACAAAAGGTCGGTGGCGAACGGTTACCGTCAGAGAAGCTCATTCCAATATTAAAGATACAATGTCAGTTACGACCTATTTGGCTTAAGAATTATTTTCGATATGAAAACAGTACGTGGTAAATAGTTGCAAGCGGTATAAAAATATATTAAAATTCACACGTCGATTCTACGAGATGAATGTAACTTGCGTAATTCGGGGCCGTGTCCAGTGTAGTGCGAGTTTTTTAACGTTCCCGAAAGCGTAAAAGTTAACCGAATTTTGTATGCAGTTGGAACAGCGCCCCTAGCGGCAAACGTACGCAAACGATCCCATTCCATACAAATATGAGTTAACTTTTACGCTATCGAGAACGTTAAAAAACTCGCACCAAGCACACCGATCAATGTTTGTACTGCGCATCATCTCCGCGCCGTGACCCATCACACCCCTCGCGATTCAGAAACTCAGAGCAGCCATTGTACAAAAGAATAAAAGGAAAAAATGTTAAAACATCACGAAATTCACCCCGAAATAGCTTAAAATAGACTATTAACCAATATATTTTATAATAATAGTGTTTTTTTCCAAAATTAAATGAAAATTCTACGTATAGTGATGTCGGAGAAATAAATCTGAATTTCGTCATTTATAATGGCTGCTCTGAAAGCGAAATACGAATTTTAATAATAATGTAAAAATAAAATCGCTTAGTGTAAAGAAGTCTTCCAAAATAGTTGTATTAGTGTGTAGTTGTAATTTTGCCGTGAAAGAATATTTATAGTCAATTCAAAACAAATCAACATTATATAATAATATTATAGTTAAATTATTAACGATTTACATGAAAAATAAAGGATAACTTCAAACAATTTAGTTTGAAGACAAATAATTAGTAATTACGTAATTAAAAGTTGAAGTTTAGAGTGCGCCCCTGCAGAATAAAAAAATCAATTATCAAAAATGTTTAATCTGGGCCGCTTTAAGATACCTCCCATCAAAAATGCCCTAGACGTAGCTCTGCAGACCGTCAGGCAGCAGATGCCTGATAAACCAGGACCGCCACCCCGTCCCCAGCAGAACGTCAGATTCGCCAACTTAGGTGAGTACTTTAATAATCCATTAATCTAAACAAAAATAAATAATAGTTTAAAAAAATTAAAAAAACACGCTTTATATAAAATTCAACTAAAAAATAGAAAATAAATTTTAATAAATTGAAATTGAAATTGAGTGTAAAATGTATTTTATTGTAAAAAAAGCGTGGGGTGCATGGTGTTATTAGTTCTATATATTTTTCTGACAGATAAGAGTAGAAGAATTGTTATTTCAATAATATATTAAAAAGCACCCCACGGTTTTTTTAAAATAAAATATATTTTACACTATTTTCAATTTAAATTTATTAAAATTTATTTTCTATTTTTTAGTTGAATTTTATATAAAGCGTGCTTTTTAGTTTTTTTAACTATTATTTATTTTTCATTTTTTAGTTAAATTTTCTATAAAAGCGTATTTTTAAAACTACGAAGTACTTTAACATCAATTCCTGCCTTATCGGCTATAGATAAAAATTATATAAATTGGCAAAAAGCTTATTTTGCAAATTGAATAATGGAATAATCTTATCAAATTAGTGTATTGTCATCGGTCCTCGATAAATCTACAAAGTTTGAATGAAATCTGGCCGTTTAAAATGGGTCAAAATCGCGTCTAAAGGAGTCAGTTACAAACCTACATACAAGTGAAGCTAATATAAAGCGTGTAAAATGTAATTCGCTGAACGCATATTGTCTTGTTTTTTAAACACTGACTGAACGAACCGCTCGACGCCTCGACTTTTGAGGGTTTTTTTTATGATTGGTGGCCCGGAGGCCTTTCCAGTTTCACCAGGACAGGGTCTTTTGTGTCAGATATTTTATTCCACTTCCTCAAACACGACTAGAATGAATTTGCTAAAGCTTTGAAGGATACGATACATATCAATCGTGTTGTTATTACCCAGGACGTTTATTTTGAACCTTGATAGACAAATACATTCACAGACAATGGTTTTGTTCCTTTTCCTTACGACTTATGCAAGTAAGGTCTTCAGCTAAGTTCAGCTTGGAAATATACTTTCCAGTACTAAAATGTCCAGTATTCAGCGCCTTAAGTAGTTTACCTGAGCGAACTCTTACAATGCTTCTTCAATTTGTCTGTAATGACTAAACTTCAAAACTTAAATGTGAGATACGCTATCATTAATTTTTTTGGTTTTGACACAAAACCACCAGTGCACCAAAAACTTCCTTGATACTGACTCGAATTGACGCTAAACTGATTTATAGTACGAATGCAATCCGGCATCAACACGGCTTCGCCCTTATAAGTCATCAGTACTTTGAGAACTGTCCCTACAATGTAGATAGCTGTAATTTCTTCATAATCTCATACATTGGTTTAGCTCCTCTTGGAAGAGTGATACATAACATCCAAGACTATAGGAGTTAAATAATTCTTGGGGTATGTGCAAACACCCGTTCCTACATATGCGTTTATTTAATATAAACTTAATTGTATTTCGAATTTGCAAACACCGGCAGACTGATTATCCGTCTCGAATTGATTCAAATTCAAAACTATTTGAAATAAGACAAGTAAGGATAATACTATTTATAATAATATAATTCTACCAAGCATATGGAATATCTGGTGGAATGCTACTGATTGCTAATATGCTACTGATTTATCCTTCTTCAGTTGGCTTTTCTAATTTAATTAATTTTCATATTAGACAATATGGGTGAGAGCTGTGAACTGTCCACCATGAACGAAACTACATCTCCAAGCTACCAGTCGACAAATCCGAATAATCCATTCCTCAGTGGTGAACTACAAGCAGAAGATTCATTCACCAGCTACCAAAACACTTATCCGCAACAGGATGGAATTGCTCCAAGGTATTCTGTTACTGGATACAATATTTAAATAATTTCCCATATGAATTTATACAATACAGTTTGTAATAGAAAAGAGTTCCTTAAAACAGTAGATATTTTAGTTTATTAACAAAATTCCAGAACCCAGAGCATGCAAAGTGTTGATTTCTATGCGTCGTCTGAAGAAGGTGGTTTCGAAGAATGCGGTGGAAAGCCGGGAGCTAAAATCAACGAGTTTCAAGCTGCATGGAACGTTACTAACGCTATTCAGGTAATTGAACCTGTGTCTATTCGCAAAACGCTTTGTACGATTCCGACTTTATATTATTTAAAATAATCTTGATCGTTTTACAGGGAATGTTCGTGGTGTCCCTCCCATTCGCAGTTCTTCAAGGAGGCTACTGGGCAATTGCCGCTATGATCGGCATCGCTCATATCTGCTGTTACACTGGTAGGATCCTAGTGGAGTGCCTCTATGAAGACGATCCCGTCTCTGGGCAACGGGTCCGCGTCCGTGACTCATACGTCGGTATCGCCAAAGAATGTTTCGGCAGGAAATATGGCGCCAGGATCGTAAACTTGGCCCAGATCATCGAACTACTCATGACTTGTATTCTTTACGTTGTCGTTTGTGGGGACTTAATGATCGGTACATTCCCCGATGGCTCCATAGACACTCGTTCGTGGATGATGCTAACCGGAATATTCCTTTTGCCACTTGGCTTCCTGAAGTCTTTGAAGAGCGTCAGTATGCTATCGTTCTGGTGCACCATGAGTCACTTGATCATAAACGCGATTGTACTAGGCTACTGCATTCTCTACATCGGCGATTGGGGATGGTCGAAAGTCAAATGGAACTTGGACTTTGAAAATTTCCCAATCAGTCTAGGCGTGATCGTCTTCTCGTACACATCTCAAATATTCTTGCCCACTCTGGAAGGGAATATGGAGGATCGATCTAGATTTGAGTGGATGCTCAAATGGTCTCATATCGCAGCTGCGGCTTTTAAGTCTGTTTTTGGATACGTTTGCTTCTTGACCTTCCAAAACGACACTCAACAGGTTATTACGAACAACCTTCGTTCTTCAGGATTCAAAGGTCTTGTAAATTTTTTCCTTGTAATCAAAGCAGTGCTTAGCTATCCTCTACCTTATTACGCTGCGTGCGATCTATTGGAACGCGCTCTTTTTAGGGGCAAACCGAAAACTCTGCTCCCCGTAATTTACGCTTTGGATGGGGAACTGAAGGTATGGGGTCTCGCTTGGAGACTCGGTGTGATAATGTTCACAATTTTAATGGCGATATTCATTCCGCATTTTACTATTTTAATGGGATTTATCGGTAGTTTCACGGGCACTATGTTGAGTTTCATTTGGCCGGCTTATTTTCATTTGAAACTGAAAGGAAATCAATTAGAAAGTAAGACAATTGCCTACGACTATTTCATTATAGGCCTAGGATTCCTGTTTGGTATCATCGGAATGTACGATGCTGGTTCGGCGCTCGTTAGGGCTTTCAAAATAGGATTGCCTTTTTAAGAAGCAATCTTCACGAATGACAATAAGTTGTTATACTATTTATAGATTTAATCATATCGGTATCGCAGTTTTCGCGGCATTAAATGTTGTAATATAGTTAGCGGAGTTTTTTAATATTTTTTTTAAACGACTCCGAAAAATATGTATTTTTTTTGTTTATGTAATGTAGTTGACAACTTTGGCGTGACTTCGTTTCGAGATTGGAAAATCATTATTTAAAAAGTGTTATCAATGTTAATAAAGAGCCTGATGAGACTCTATCCAAAATACGTACCTAACGTTATTCTTATGGGAATTTCGTTAAGCTTAAAAGTAAAAAAAAAACTATTCAGAGATTTTTCCGTTTTTATCCAAAAATTCCGTCGTCCCTTCTACTCGTAGGGCCCGTAATAGGAAGCATGTAAGGGTAAGTACCACCGTCCTGCCTATTTCTGCCCCGAAGCAATGATGCGACCTCGTATCTCCGGGCGGATGAAGGAGTCCACATTGATGTCTATCATGCTTCTATAACCACTTTACACTTCAACTGGTATTAGGGGGTCTTGAGAGCCTGCCCGGGTAGGTACCACCACCCTGACTATTTCTACTGTGAAGCAGTAATACTTTTCAGTTTGAAGAGCGGGATAGCTGTTGTACTGTAAAACTGAGATTTGGAACGCATATCTCAAGTTGGGTGGCAGACTTTACGTTTTTTATGTCTACGGGCTACGATAACCACTTAACACTAAGTGAGCCGTAACCTCATTCAACCGATGATGCAATAAATAGATTAAATAAGAATTAAATGAAAACTGTACATTTGCATATTGACGAAATATCTTTGAACAATGCAAAAAAGGAATACAGTTCCAAAATTAGATAAATTCTTAACTATGAACATGAATTAGATAATATAATCTTCCAAATACAAGAATGCCTATGCCTGTGATGAATATAAAAAGATGGCATTTTGAAAATAAAGTATTACAATTGTAGTTTTAAAAAATATAAACAAATGTCTTCCAATTATAAATTTAATGCTCATGAATTGTATATTTTTTAACAACGAAGTCTTCCACTTTTATTTATGATAATTTAATTAATCAATATTATATTTGGATAATATTTACAAAAAAAATTATTATATACTAATATAGGATGTAGTAGTACCTACATTAAAAACGTTAATTAAAAACGATAATAATTTATGGGCACTTATTTGAAGTTAGATTTAAATAATAACTTTTACTATTAATTTTCTTCATTTTATTCGTTTAGTAAGATATTTTATATTATATAGAGCTAATTTAAATTATATTTTTTATTATTATAGAACAATTAATATTGTATTATTATATTGAATTTACATTAAGAAAAGTGTGTTGATTATTTATTTACATTTTACGCAAGGCATTGACGGTCAAATTCAATACTAGTTCTGTCAATTTAAAATCGGTTTCAAGTCCTAATTACAGAAAAATTATGCGTGCTTACTTTTCAAATACAGTCAAACCTGGATAAGAGAGAGTTCAAGGGAGCACAATCTCATTCTCGCTTATAGAGGTTTCTCACTAACCCGAGTTTCTCGCTAATGCACCCTCTGAATTTCATTTCGCGATTTTCCGGATCAAACGCTTTCACCATTCACTTAATGACAGTACTTTAATTTTCCGTTTTGACATGATGCAGAACAGAACTTTCCTTCGCAATTGATTAACGATAAAGTGAGTAAGTCCGACAAACAGGACGGTACACAGGCACACGTGTCCATTTGAAAAGAATGCTATAAAATAACAACGTTATTTAGTTCCACGAAATAGAATAGGTTCAATATTGACGAGAAAATAATTCAAAAACAATGGAAGGAAGTTCCACAAAAGTTAAGAATGAGTCATAAAATAGCAGATGTTAAATTTGTAATTTGTTTTTTCAGTCGTTCCTCCTAAATAGTATAAATAAATAAAGCTCGACTGTCGTTTATAGAGGTATAGATAAGTAGCAGTCTCACTTACGGAGGTCCATGAGGGAAAAACGACTCTCTCTTACAGAGGTTTCTGTTTCTCGCTAATAGAGGTTTTGGGAGCTTAAAATGACGGGTCCTGGCTATTACTCTCACTTATAGAGTTTTCTCACTTATCCAGTTCTCACTTACCCAGGTTTGACTGTATATGTAACTAGATTATATCAATGTGTAATAACTAATCACAATGTCTTCCATAAATGATATGATAAATTGTTGTTGATTATATTTAGATAATGTTATTAAACATGTTTGTCGTTAGATTAGTCGTGTAATATTTAAGTGTATGGGCGGTGATCTTAAAAGAAAATGTATTTGAGTATACAGATAATCTTGTTAATTACACAACTATGACTAGGAAACGGATAAATTCTTAAAGATTTACACTTTGTTTTTTTTTTTTTAATTTTCGCAAGATCCAGACGTAATTAAAAATACATACATTTACGGTTTCATTTCACGGTTTAATTTGCCATTACATTATTTCTGGCGTTTCGAATATGTTTTAGTTTTGGAACGAAGTTCCTTATCGCGCGTTGTGAAAGGGGGCTAGACGGAAAAAATTCTTACGAAAAGTTGTCACGACACTTTTTAGATCCGTCATTCTGACCAATCAACGTGTAGGCGCTTATCGCGTGACATTGCTCGTATCCGATTGGTCCGCGTAATGAGTACAGTTTCTCGAGATAGCGTTTCAACAATAGTAATTTAGTTCATAGTATTGTTTTTTTCTTCTTCATAATGCCGTAATGTATTATTATTAACTTAAAAAAAAATTACAATTCCTTCACTAATTAATCGAAAGGAACTTCGTTCCATCCGGGTGTCCCTTGACACCTCTAAAGTTTTATTTATTTATATACTGTGCTTTTTTATGGAATGGACTAACGGAATGTAATGATGGAATAAAAAATGAATACATTCAAATCAGCTACGGATTGACAAATTACATTGACAATTACAAAGTATGATAAATTAAATAAAGTAACCTACTACTCGTAATATGTTACCGAGACAATTTTTATTTAATTATTACAATTTAATCATGCATTTTAACAATTATCGAACACAATTTCAAATAATTATATTTTAGTAAATATATTATTTACTTTTGTTAGTATTATGTCGAGGATATCTGTATATCCAAATACGAATTTAAAAAAATATTTGGGCTTCCAATCTATTGTGCTTTCTGAGTCGACTGTACAATAATATGTACCTACGTTATAATATGCTTACAAGTAAATAATAGAGATGTGGGATAATAGAGATGTATTCAAACGCAATAATATTGTATAAATATACATATTATAAATCTAAATAATCGTTTATTCTATTGTGATCGAAATAAAATAATAATCTAGGTGTGTATTTTAAATAATATAAAATGTTATTCCATATTCTTGATTATGTTTTATTTTCACTATTTTCTTTTATGAAACAGGTTTTATGAAGGATTCATTCATAACTCCGATTAAGACTGGTTTGAAATAGACTATTTCATTTTTTTTTACCTTTGTCATGACGAACGAGACAACTGAAAATAAGTCATGCACGAATCCCAAAAATGATAGGGACACAGATAAGGCTTTACTTATCGAGAAAGGTTACCATTAGTCTCGTTTGAGGAACAATACGTCATAACGTTCAGGTTATAAGCATCGTGAAAGAGAATCCAATCCATGGCTGAATGCTCAAATGCGAAAATGAAACTGGAAACGCACAATAAAATGCATCGCTCACAGTAGTAGGAAAAAACGGCCGCGTTGAGATATGAGATCAAATTCTCAATTGCATTTGTGTGTACAGAATCATGTGTAAAAGATTTTTTTTGCCTAAGCTGATGGTCTTGAGTGATCATTTCAGCGTAGCCTTAACTAGTAGGTGAGCTCACGGGGCTCAAACCTGACGACATTGCCAACACTAGCCCTAGCAAGAACAGTGCTTCGCAGAATCTACCACCGGATCGGAAACGAGACCCACTGAGAAGATCCGGCGAGAAATGTGTGGGTTTATTTACTCCCCATTCGTAGTCTTTAAGCCGGAATGCCTGCTTCTAGGCAGAAATAGGCAGGGCTGTACCTTTCCGTGCGAGACTACGATACGTCCTACCTATCCTAAGCTACAATGGCAATTCGGATACAAAACCACGGCGATGCCCAACGAACTCCCTTTCTCTTCCAGTCTGGTTTCGAACGAAATTGGGTACTTGAAAAAAAAAGCGGCGATGTAGCTTTTCAAATTATGATTTAACCCCTGTGTACTAGATCCCAAGTCTTATGAGATGAATATTATCGATCCGACAGTTACCAACCAACAGACCCCAAAAAAATACTTTTTATTCTAACCCTTTGTCCCGTTCTTTCGTAAAAATAATATTTTAACTCAACGTTTGCAAGACCGCTCCTTAAGAAAACAATAAAACATCAAGCCAATTTACAACAATATTTTACTTAATTGGTTATTTTAGCGCGCCAATTTTTTTTCCCGGCCGCCATGACAGCAAAATGGACCGCCTTATTCGAGTATGCGCGCTCCTTGCAATATGTTCACTCTTCATACGGATAACAGTATGTATTAATTAATTTATAATTACATATAAATAATAGCGGATATAATAATAGAGTTAATGTATCATATTTGTGGCCACGCTTAAGGTAAAAAATCCGAAAGCAAGTGCTTCACCTAAATCGGGTTAGTTAGTGTATTAACGCTTTTTTGACATCAGTTAAAATGTTTTTAAATTTCATGACAAACGGATCATTCGCGCAAACGCAGAGACTATAAAAAAACATATCTATTTTTTTTTATTATAAATCAGATTATTTCTCCTTTTAAGTGCAATGACGAATTATTATTAAAACTTAAACGCCCTACAGGCAAATTTTTGGGTACCTATAATATTATGGCAGTAGCCATTAGTAGTAAGTAATGTATTTTAATATAGGCATACAATATCCGCAATCACCCATGCTGTCAAGAGCCAAACGAGAACCTGACCCTAGCGATGATCATAGACGCCTTCGAAATATACGGTCATGATCCTACTGACAAATTAGACAACCTGTGGCTATACCAGAACGAGATGCTGAGGATCAAGACAGCGGAAGATCAGGTAGCGATACCACTATACTAAAATATTTTTTTGCATCTAATTGGAAATTCATATTAGCATCACCCTGTATATCGTTGAATATGGACGTCACTCTCTGCTTTGCAAACGAGCTACAGTTATCCCGCCAAAAGTGGTCGACAATCGGTATGTCTACATTCAACCATCCTTAGCGTCTAGTTAGGTTAGACTTAGACTAGAGCTTAGACGATTGTTTAATGCTATGTCGAAATTACAGCTAAGACCACCTTACCCGGTTTCGGTCTTGAAGAGAATAGTTCGCCTTGGTTTGAATGCTATTCGTTTCATGTAGTCCTCGGTGAGAAGTAGTATCCGGCGAACTCTTGCCCATTTAACTCAAAAAATGACTTGTGACGACCAAGCTAAAGATAGACGTTAAAGAAGAGAGACGTCTTCTGTCTCGTTTTCTCACTGTATTGCG